GAGTGCAGGCTAATTGAATCTGAAGTCCTACAGCAGGGTTTCCAGCTTCCCTACACAATCAGCGGTGTCATCTTTGAAAACCAAGTACAACAACATAAAGCTTGCAGTCACTCGCTTAGGTTTTGACATCTACTTCTTCTGAGTGTAGAGGAGCCTACACCTGTGACAGACCAAGGCCCTTATGAGTTCCCGCAGGCAAAATAGGGTGAGTCGGGAGCCAATTTATCAACATGGATGACTTACTCTGATTCGGGGCCGATCATGGATCTTGGCTGCCTTGTACAGTGAGCAAGCAATTAGCCATGTCCTCTTAGCAGACCATCCCATTCAGGTACCGCAACACAAACCTTCCAAGATCGAAAGAGTTCCACAGAGCTGGGACTCACCAGCAGATATAACCACTCTATTGCCCAGTTGCTTCTGGGAAGCGGTTGCAGGGTGTTGGCCTATCAGCAGCCCAACAGAGGATGACTTAATCCTCTGGCAGTGTCGGTTTTAACTTCCTACAAGTTGCTGATGTCTGCAGCTGCTGCGTTGCGGTGGGAGTCTATCTTTGACCAAAGATTCTGAGGCAATGGTAGTTTTGAAATGCCTAAGGCTTCTAAGCCAATTTGGAAAATTCAGGGGATTTGAATTGAATAAAGTTCTATAGATAGAACTCATTCCACAAATATTTTCATTGCAAAGGGAAGGCTTAAAACCCATTTCAGCTGGGGTTTTCTTGCCTGGAACATGTAACAAGTTATTCATTGGTCTGAGGAGTGTTCATGGAGGATGTTTACATGAGGGATCTCTGCAATCAGAAACTGGTTAGGAGTTTTTGGGTGAACCGGGTTCCCACTTCAGTGTCTTGCTTCTGGAAGATAGGGGAGAAGAACAAGAGGATTGACATCGATGGAAATCAACTCAACACAGAGTCAGAGCAGAGAATTCAAGGCAAGACAAACAACTACTCTTTGTGATAGATGTTTTCTCACCTGCTCCCTCCTTTTCTGCACGCTGCTTGGCGCCCCGGAAGGCTGACCTTTATGGATTCCATCAGTGGGCTCCCTTGATCTCTGGCTTCCAGTTGCATTTAGCCAATGGGAAACTAGCAGGCGATCACAGGGTTGGCATCGTTTTTTCCCAGGCCTCTCCCAAGTGGGCTCTGGGGTAGCACCCTCTGTCTGCTAAGGCCACAGCTCCTTCTATACTTGCAACTACTTTTTCCAGATGCCACTAAGAACCCCTCAATTTTTTTAGGCTTACGATGTGTTTCCCTTAACCCTGCTCATGTCTTGAGAAATAGTCCTTTATCAAATTCCTCAATTACCCTGCATAATTCATTTTCATTTCCTATACATAGAGTAGCTAAACAATCTATGGCTAATATTTACAAAGGAACAATTTTGAACAAGTCACTGTGCAGGTAAACCTCAAATTATACCCCAAAGATGACTGTCAGAATCCTTTGGAGAGTGAGAGGAGTTCCAGACCAGGGCATGTCCATCTTGGCTGTTGCTGGCTCTAAGAGAAGTCATGTTACTTGGACACAGTCATTGTCAACAGCCACGTCCATTGTGTGTTGGTCAGGAAATACAGCTTTAGGTGTAGGACATCCTAACCTGATAGTTTTTTTAACCTATGTCAGCATTTCACTCTTTTTTGGTACCTTTTAGGAACCTGATTGGCAATTTTGATTTGATATATAGCATATCATAAGTTTTATCATTTAAAATAGATAGAAATGGGCTCTTAATGTTTCCATGCAGAAAGTCTGTTTTCCAGGAATAGATTCCTGACATGAGGCAGGTAACACATCCTGAAGAAAAAAGAAACAGTTTGTAGCAATGAAACATCTAAGACTCAGTTTCATCATTAAAATGTGAGTGATGATAACACTTAACTCATAAAATTATGAGAATTAAAAACAAATGTAACACATAACATAACATAAATGTTAGTTGTCATTTATCCTAATTGATTATTTTCCTGATTCCTCAAATGGAAATTCTTTTATTACCATTTATGGAAAACAAAGTGTTTGAGGATGACTTAATAACTTGTGGATAGATGTTGTACCTGTAGAATAAATAGAATTGAACTGTCCTCTTGATTTCTGCAGTTAGTTAACTCGTTTGACATAGACGAAACTTAAGTCATTTTAACCAGGTGTTTTTTTTTTTTTTTAATGTATGTGCAATTAAAGAGATGGAAGGAATAGGAGAGAAGGCAAAACAAAAACGGACCCAGTTTATAATAGTCAAAGAGGTCAACTTGCTAATATAACTAAGATACTATGGTTGAGCTTTCATGTGGATGAAATTAGTAACAAAAGACCCAAATGTCTTTGCATGCAGTGAACTCTTCCATAATCAGAAACCACTGTTTCAAGTAAATTTGCACCTTTCAAAATGCTTATAAAATGAATGGGCAACATTTCTTTTTAGGCTTTACCATACCATTTAGGGAGAAGGCTAAGGTCAAAGTCAAGGAACATATTTAATACCTTCGCCATAAGTACATCTTTATTTGTTTTTGGTTTTGAGACAGAGAAGAACAATTTGACAAGTTAACACATATTCCCCCCTATATTTTAATGCTACAACACAGAGAACAATAACATATCAATTAACTTTAATTGCCCTCCGGCTTGCTTCCTCAGATACCTGCCATCGTGAGCAGTGTGCTTTTATGAATAGCGTCCTGGCGGTGAAAATCTCTCAAGGTCTATAACTTGTTCTACAATGTCTGTCCAGGGTCTCACAAAAAAAATCATTTAATATATTCTGTATGTTGTCTCATTTCTCCAATATTCTCAAAAGTCAGAATCTTACCGTTTATAACTGGATATTAAAGATAGACTCACAGAGTCAAGAATGGAAGAGATCCAGCAACAGTAAAATGAACTCGCCTTGCCCATGCAAGGAACTCTGTGTTTCAATGAATCTTGAGTCTGTGCTTATCTAAAGCAGTCCAAGGTAAGAGGTTCTGTTGTAGGCAGCTGGGAGGCAGGCCTGGAAACCAAGTGAGTTCTTCTTCTGTTCTCGCATTTCAGATGCAATAACCCCCACGTTGATTCATCTAGCATTTGTAGACACACAGTTACAGTAAAATGTGAACAGTCAGTTAAATGTAAATACAGTAAAATGTGAAAAAATATCACATGCTGGGAATTATATCCCCTCCAAGGTGAACTTTGATCAGTGTTAGCCATGGAATCAATTCTCCTCCGTTCCTGCCTCTGATGGGCTTTTCTAGTGTCCTGTGTGGTCAACCAGTTGTCTAGAGATGAGCTGTAAAGCTGTGGTCAGCGTGGCATTGGCACCCAGTGGTGTGCACACACCCCCTCCTTCCTATCTCATTCCCTGTTCCCTCACTCCGGCTGCTCTGGGGTTGCACTTGCCAAGGAAAACACAAGCACTCAGTCGGTCTATAAAATAGCAGGCGTCAACACGTGTTCCTTGAATCCTTCTTCTCACAATAAATACTACAGATAACATGACCTTCATATGATACAGGAAGAGATGTTTTCTTTAAATACAGAATGAGGTCTGAGGTAAAGGAGATATAAATTAGGTTTTCCTTTGATGTCCATCCTCCCACCTCCCCATTCTTTGGTCCTTTCCCATTTTTGTTGAGTCCCTGGCTTTTAGACACCTTGTGACTTCATTCTGCCTCTGACTCTCCCAGAATTCATTTGTAAGTTAGTACACCTAAATAATGCACATCATTTCATGCACTTCAGTAATTCAATGAGTTACCCCTTTTAGTAGCATTACATTTCTTAAGAAGAACTAATAGAAAGGACAAGATTAACCCCAATAGTAAAATTCCAGACACTGTGGTACATGAATCATTGGGGTCATATGTCTGGGTGAAAAGAAAAAATAAAATTTGATGCAACCTAAATAATACCAGGTTGATGAAAAAAAATTCAGGTTCTGGAACTCACCAGACCTGGGTTTGAGTATTGGCTCTGCTCTTTACAGGCTGTGTGACATTAGCCAAATCACTTAACCTCTCTGTGTTTCCTCTATAAGACGATGAAAATAATACCTGCCTCATAGGTTCATGATGTAATTAAGTAAGTCATAACATACAAAGTCCTTGCAGCCTGAAGACTATGTTTATATCCTGGGAAGATCCCACAGTCAAGGGGAGGAACAGGTTGCTTTCCAGAGCAATGTGCTTTCCTAACAGAAGCAGGTGCAGAAGCTAAAGGAACCAGCAACAGGGTTCAGTTAACCATTGCCTGTGTGAAAATCACGTATTTATTTTGCTTCCTATTTAACAAAACTATTCACAAATGATTCCTGTTCTGTTATCAATTTCTAAAACAGACAGTTGTTCACAGGGACCATCAGGGTAATGACTCCTGAAACGTAGCCTCTTTATTAAGACTCCTGATGTGAAAATCATTCTTAACCATCTGCAGAATCATAGTTTAAAATCACCAGCTCTCCTGTTTAGGAGCCACTGCTGAAATTATTCAGCGAGACGGGCTTTCTTATGCTTTGTAAACAGTTATTTGTGATATTCCTTGGAGGTTCAATATAAAGTTACCAGCAAGAAGGTTTCATGTACAAGCAGTAATTTTGATGACTCCAGGATCTAGAAATCTTCATTTAGATGTTCAGCAATTTTATATTTGAGATACAAAGTTAGCTTAAAAGTGAAATATGAGGCAGAGGAAAATGTCTACAGTCTTAATGTTTTGCCCAATATTTTACAGAACAAAGGGATAGAATATCTGAAATTTAGTGTTGCTCTTTTATTCTTTTCAACAGAAGAATTACTCTGGATCTCTTTTGGGAATAATGTTCAAAGAGGAATAAATTTGTCTCTTAAATATTCTCAGCGATTTGGCGAGGGTGGGGGGTGGGCAGTACGAGAGTGCTTTTGGTTAAGTAAGTATCCGCTCCATTCACTATTCTAAAACCTACCACTTGAGCATCTCTATCTGAGAAGATAAGTGAGTTAACAGTCATCACTCCCCAGCTCTCCAGCTGCGTGATCATCTCAGATGAGCTGGGGACTCTGCGGCTTGTCCTCACTCCAGGAGACAGGCTGAGGGAAGAACCACCATCTACAGCATGGCCATCGTAGTATAAAAAGAGAGAAGGGTAAGACGTGTCTGGTGATTCCTGGCTCTTAGGTCTTCCTCCTGAGTTTCAGTGGCGCAAATAAATCCCATGGCCCACCTCACTTTGAAGAAGTAGGGTAGGGTTATTAAACCATGTCCTAGAAGAGAAGAGAGGGAAAACTGGAAAAATTAGAGAATGTCCTCATGAATACAGTGATAACTGCTTTCTTCTCTTTTTATGCCTTGTGCTTGGTTTATGAGCTCATTTTCGCTGATTGGGGCAAAGACATTAACCCATCCAGGATCTTCTCTGTGATGGAAGTGAAGGACACCATGTAAAATGATTACACAGAGAACCTGGGTGGCTCAGTCAGTTAAGTGTCTGCCTTCAGCTCTGGTCATGATCCCAGGGTCCTGGGATCAAGCCCTGCATAGAGCTCCCTGCTGAGCAGGGAGTCTCCTCCTTTCTCTTCCTCTCCCTCTCCCTCTGTGTTGTTTCTCTCCCTCTCAAATAAATAAACAAATCTAAAAAAAATAATAATAATAAAAAAAAGAGATTCCATGAAACTAAGGGGGGAATATCCCATTCAAGGTTCAAAGGTCTTGGTAGTGTCAGATGACATTCATATGTACCTTTCTGTATACTTTTCCCCCAGGCATCTTCTGCTGCCTAATATACTACCCAAAAACATGGTAATTAAAACCAATACCAATGATTTGTTTATATTCTGCACTTTGAATTGGGCTTGGGTCTAAGATGACCTCACTCGTTTTTCTGACCAATGGTCTTAGCTGATTGCTAAGCCTCTGTCTCCAAGAACTTTTCTTGAAATCTAGCGCAGTAGTGCTAGACTGTCATCTGAGGGTAATAGGAGGGGGAGAGGGAAAACTGGAAGCCTTCTTGAGGAGAAGCTAGGAAGGCCTACAACATCACTTTGCCTGCATTCTGTTCACTGGACCACATTGAGGGGAGCAGAGCGACTCTTGATAGAAGGGGTGGGGGAGGGCAGAATCGCATGGTAAAGGAGCATGACCCAAGGGTGGGAGAATATTTGTGTCCTTCTTTATGAGCTATTTCACCACAGCTCTGGGATGAGGGATGACCAGGAGCGTTACGGACTGTCCGGAGAATAGGCACAGAGCCTGGAAAAGATTCTGCAATTTTCCAGAGATTTCTTGGTGGGTTTGTTTCTGTTACAAATGAACTAGAGTCTGGAAAATAAGTGAAAGATGCGGTTTCCATTTGGAGGAAGTGAGGAGCTTTTCACTTGACTGTTTTTCTGTGTCCTGCCAGTCAGAGCACTTCTGCTAACGGCAACTCCATCCGCCATCTAGGGTATCATAAGAGTCATCTGCCCTTGGCCATTTCTCATTCTGGTTTGCTGTTGTAATGCTATCGCATTTTTTTTTTATGCCAAAAAACACTTGAAAATTTTGTCGAAGTAGAGGGTGAACAAAATTCTCTCCACTAATCTATTGGTCAATGTCACCTAGTTCAGAGATTTTTCCTGTGGACATTTCTAAATTCTACATGTATAAACTTTATAACAGTTTTTAGGAGTCTGCCATCTAATCTCTGTGATCAGGTAGGAGTTGGGGAGAAAACAATTTCTAAAATAATCAGGTCATAATAAAATCATAGAGTTTTATAGAATAAGTGAAATCTCTCACTGTTACACAACTCACTTGCTCACTGTGAGGCCTGGCTATGTTCTACATCATAAATATAGACTGTTGTATTCTACACTACTGCTGGAAGCTTCCAAATGGTCTTTGCACATATTAAGTAAAATATTTTTCAATATTCCGATTTGGCTGTACAGAAATATGCAAAAATGGGATAAGCTCTCTATTTCAACAAAAAGTCAGACTCTGTCTTAAAATTGCAGTGGGTAACATGATTTTTAACTGCTCTTCTCCATGGGATTGAGGATAAATCATGCATAGTCATGCACAATCCCTACTTTAACTGATGTTTATCGAGAAGAGTATAAAGTCCTTGGGTTGCCTCATTTGTGGGCTTGACCTCCCAAATTCCCTGACTGGGAAGGGAAGTCAGGTCCCCTCCATTTAAAAGGGAGCAATTTGGGCATGGTGCAATGGTGGGCACTCTTTAGGGAGAGAAATCTTAAACCAAAGCAAACCACCTCAGTAAAATAAGTCTTTTGTAATATTCTTGCAACTGACTAGAATAAGTGTCATTTTGAGATTGTTCTCTTTCTCTAATTTAAAAGTTAACTAAAATGATAAATAACAACCTTAGGTAAAGTTCTCCCTATCGCAAAAAAAATGCCCTCGGTTTCCTGTCTGAAATGCCTCAATCCTTCACAAACTAGACCGTTTCCTTTTCCCAGGGTGGGGAGGACTTCCAAGTCAGTTCATGCCACTCACAGTGCAGTGTTATGACTCTTGTGTGCTTGCTGAAGGCAAGGAGAGGACAGTCATCCCTCTAGGAATTTGCCTCCGCAACGGACGCAACGGCTCACAGCAAATGTTGTTGATTCAATGGTCAGTGTTGTGCCCCAATAATGGGTCTGTGATTAAAGGAGCGAGACTGATACAAAGAAGGTCAAGCAAAGCTTTATTTCGCGCCAAGCATCAAGAATCTAACCGAACGTTTGGGGACCGCACCTCTTACAAGAGAGGGCGACCCTTCTCTGTTTCACAGTCTAGCTTTTAAGGGCACAGGCCATGCGGTCGGGCCTGGCCACGCACAGGTGGCCAATGAGATCGTAACACACACAGGAAACTCCACATGATGCTAGGAGACCAATTGAGTTACAATTTACCCTAGTAGACATTTGACCCAGCCTATTACACCTTGATTGGGATTGGCGCCAAAAAGGGTTCCCAAAGGGTGGGGGCCCCTACTCCTTGGTAGCTAGGGAGACAGTATGCAACCCCCTACTGATCAGATGTCTCCACCTGGCCTGACCCACCCTTGTGTCTGGGCTTTGTTACCTGAAGCTGGTGTTGGGGACTTGTTTTTAAGTGAATCCCCTGGGGGAAGGGAAGCAGGGACAGTTTAACTTTAATGAAAGCCTCTTGCTAAATAGGTCCTTACAGTCAGTATTTAAAAATCCAAGGGTAAGTCATCTGAGGATAGCCACTGGATAAGCTGAATGAGCCTAAACCCCAGACAACAGTTGGGACATTATCATAGTCCAGAGCTAATCCAAAATATACATCCGATTTGGTCCAGGGCCTGAGGTTGTAACTGTTTGGAGGTATTTGGGGGAAAGGAGATTCTACAGACTCAGAACCAATGCCTGAACACCATTTGCATGGACATGGCTAGAGCTGGAGGGGATTGTGCTGAAATCAGTCAAGCAGAGAGAGTCACTTATCATATGGTTTCACTCATATGTGGAACATAAGGAACAGCATGGAGGATATTAGAAGAAGGAAGGGAAAAATGAAAGGGGGAACTCAGAGGGGGAGATGAACCATGAGAGACTATGGACTCCAGGAAGCAAACTGAGGGTTTCAGAGGGGAGGGGGTTGGGGGATGGGTGAGCCCGGTGATGGGTATTAAGGAGGGCACGGACTGCATGGAGCACTGGGTGTTAGACACAAACAATGAATCTTGGAACACGACATCAAAAACTACTGATGTACTGTATGGTGACTTACATAACATAATAAAAAATAAATAAATAAAGGCACTACTGATACCTCAGTTTTCTTAAGAGATTCCAAAGATGCCCTGGAATGGACTTGGAAATTTATACCAGGGGTGCCAAACACATGGAACATAAGTTTGTTTCAGTAACTTTTGTTTCCACCCACAACCGGGCTCAGCAAGCCATGCAGGTGGCAAGTTTGGGACACTAACGTGATTCAAGTCACCTCCAGAAGACACCAAATCCCAACGTTCCTTCTCAGTTCCTTTATGCAAGGTGCTAGTTTATATTTAAGGTCATGCCGACATTTTATCCAGGGAAAGTGAGGAATAGCTTTTTTTTTTTTTTTTTTTAACTTTCTTACCCATTTATGGTTTGGTCTTCAGCCCTTTCTTCTTTAGTTCAGCCGTCCCGATAGCCTCACTCTAACACGCTGACAGTAGGTAGCATTTGGCAGTGATCACATTCAGTGTACAGATACTCTGCCTTGTCACAATTTAGAATGCCTGATGTTTGGAGGAGCTATAAACCTTATTTACATATTTGCCTTTGCCAACTATAAATTTCCCTTTTATCATTCTTGGCCTTATGGGGTTGTAAACATTTGCCATTTGCTCTTTGAAAGTTCACCCTGGATTAGAACTATCGAAGTAACAAATGTATCCTTGTTTCTTCAGTCCTTTGAAGAAAAAAATTCAGTCTCCTCCAAAGCATCCATTTCAACGTCTATGTCTGATATATTTTTTTTAACCCAGTTTTTTTTTTTTTTGCAAAAGTCTTTATTTCCTTTATAGCCATTTATAATTGAGGGGAAAGGTGTGAAATACTTTTTTTCACGCAGCCTACCTTGCTAATGCAAACCATATGTTATCTGTTTTCCTATGTATTTTGTATTGCTAGTACCATATGCCTCCAATGATTGATCTTACCGTTGTGAGGAAGCTAAAGATACATATATTTTAAGTCTCTCTTGTAGGAAATAAGATGTTCCTCTATTGCTCTTTCAGATTAATGTGCTAAAAGCTTCTGCTCATGCCTAATGGATGAACCATAATTTACATCAAAGTTTCAATCACTTTAAATTAATATAGCCATTTTCTTAATGAATCTTGCTACTAGAATCTCTGGTCTTCACAAAACAATCCAGTCCTGGCTGTTTACCATTTTTTTGGTATAGCATAAAATCTGGTATCCAGAGTATTTTCCATTGTAGTTTTTAAAATTAATTAATAAATGACCTGTGCTATTTGATAATATGTGTCTTCCATGCACTTTTGTAAAAAGTATATTATTCATCACTGTTTTCATCTTCTATTGGATTTCATAAGAAGGAAAGGAAAAAAATATATGTATTCTACTAAGAGACATAAACATTGTAAG